AGGCGATCTCTACTAATATACTACTACTACTTCTACAACAACTACAACTATTACTACTACAATTAGTCGTGCCGCTGCTGCTGCTGCTGCTACTACTACGAGATAACTACCACCACAACCGAAACCATTCTGCTGCTGCTACTGCTACTCTTTCTACTGCAATAACAAAAAACAATTGCTATTCCTCCTGGCTTCCTTTTGCTTCTCATGCTACTACTATTATTTTTAATATACAACACTAAAATAGAAATACTATTTACAAGAACCACTAATAACAAAATTCTTTTTCTTCTTCAGCATTCTAGCCCTTTATGTTTTTTGCTGCTACCTCTATTCATCTCTCTAGTTGGCCTTCTCTTTCCAGCTGGTGACACCAAGTGTTTGCAGGTCTGTCTGGACATTATCTCGCTGTCGTCGTCTTGGTCTGCCTCGTGGTCTACGACCCTGCAGATCATCTCGTGTATACAGTTTTTACCTCTCTGTCATTTGATATTCTTTCAATATGCCCCTGCCATTTCAGTTAATTAGCCCTCCTGATGTCAGTGATCAGTGGTGATTTAAACAGATTATGAGCTTCGTTTTTTTTTAATTTGCTTCTCACAATCCATTCTACGATGATTTCATCTTTATGTGTTCAATGATTCATCTTAAGACTATTTTTTTGAAAATTGTAATAAGTCTTCATCTATTTAAGTTATGCTACAAACTGCAGAACCATATAAAAACACTGGTCATATCAACATGTATATATTATGATTTTGATGTTGTCAGGAGAGAGACTATGACTTTAGCAATTGTTGAAGGGCATAGTAAACTTTAAGTGCATCTGTCCGAGAGGCAAAGAACCAGCAGTCTGTATACAGATAAGTCAGATCTGTAAAACGGATGCACACGCAACACTTAGGTTCTGGAACAGGACTGCAGTCCAGAAGTGGATGAAAAACCAGAACTTTCCGCCAGAGTTTACAGATGGTGAACGCTAAGAAGAAGAAGAAGATTCATCTAGGTTTCCTTAGCCACTTTGCCTTTGTTCACTATTTATATTTGTATTCTAGAGTATTATTCTTTATCATGCTTTTTCTTAAAGAAACTATAGGCTCATGAAATTGTATTTATTTTATTATTTACTGACCAGAGTCTACTTATCCAGCTCCCACAACTCCGTCTGTTTTTTTTTTTTTTTTATAAGACTCTTCCTCCCCCCACCCGGCTTGTGCGGAGGTCCTTTACATAAATATCATCAGATGGAAGATGCATAACTGAGAGAAGGAACAGAATAGAAAAGGCATAAACTGCATTTTATTAAATGAACATCTTGTGCAATATATCCTTGTCATTGAGATTTAGAAAAAGAATTATTGTTTGCTACATACATCCAGTCTTCACATATGGCTGTGAATCCTGGACAATCGGTAGGCAGGCCAAACAATTTCTTGAGGCCTCAGAGATGTGGTTTTACAGAAGAACGCTCAGAATACCTCGGACAGCCAAAAAAGAGCAACCAACAGGTTTTAAAAGAGGCGGGAGCCCAAAGACAACTTATCACAGACATCAGAAGGAGACAGTCATCATTTTTCGGTTATGTTATGAGAAGAGGGAAAATAGAATATGTTGTGACCACTGGAAGGCAGGATTGAGGAAGACAACAAGAGAAGATTCTTGACAGTCTTGTTGCATGGCATGGATGTGTGTCAGCACACGAACTGATAAATGCTGCAGGAGATCGCAAATTGTGGAGAGGCATTGCACCCACGCCAGATGGCTAGGCACCTTATGATGATGATGATAGTTTCTTTTTTCAGAAACGTTTTCAAGCAGCCACCGTTATTTGTCGTTACATTTACCGTGCATTAGACAGGACACCACAGAGAGCAATGTTATATAGCCACAACGGTAACAGAGTCAGAGGTCGACCACACAGTTACAGACAGGAATATCAGAAACATCGAAAAGTATTTTATACGAAGCGAACAGAATGACCCGTTGTAGAGATCTCTTCCTACACTGAAACCACGCAGCATTCCAGGAGTAAAGGAAAGAAGATGGAGAAGATACAAGAGAATATAAGCTCAAGACTTTCTGACCCGTAGGCAAGAGTTTCATCACTGGGCTACTGGGGTTCCCGTTTATGCCTTTATCCTCATCATGTCCCCACTTCTTCACCTCTTTTACTGTTTTAGGTGTCGAAGTAAAAAATATGGTCCTGCTTCTTGTTCTTCTGCGGCGTCTGTGGCTAAGGCGTTGCGAGTCCGACTCGTAATCCAACATACCGCGATCGTAACCCACTGCAGGCTGCGTGGATTTTTATCGTAGTATGGGACGTCTCAGGTCAACCCAGCCTAAAATGGGTACCGGGATGGGCTGTTCTGGGAAAGTAAAGACAGCCGGCGTAATGCTGACCACATTACCCACAGAGTGCTGATGGTCTGTAAAAATATGGGACGCTCTGCCCATATGCCCGATGCGCCGAAAGGCGTGAAAAGGGATCTCTACTTTACTTTTTTATGGGTCGTAGCAGATCGACCCAGCCTAAAATGGGTACCAGCGTAATGCTGACAACATTACCTATTCAGTGCCGATTGGTCTGTAAAAATATGGGACGCTGTGCCCATATACCTGATACGCCTAGGCGTAATAAGGGATCTTTACATGTTTTACTTATTTTCTTGTTCTTCTGACCGTCTCAGCCATAAATACATTGTACAATTTTACAGTTTCTCTGATGTTATCATTCCCTGTTGTTGTTGATCTACCCAGTGATCTACGCCCTTCTCTTCTTCTTCTCCTCTTATGGTATGGGGTCGCAAGACATTGTCTTGTATGTAATTTAGTGTAACAAACCCACACGACTCAATCCTAATGTCTGCTTTTGTTTGGCACCCTATGTTTTTCATGAGGTTATCCAGGAATATTATTTTTTACATGATGTTTTGTTACACGTCATAATAACAATCCCAAAGCAGAATTCCTCTACTGTGTTTGTTGCAAAAACAAAGCGTGCGGTTTGTTAGTACTACAGAGACAACGCAAGCTTTACTGTTTTGAAAACAGTATTATGTAATCAGTAGTGAATTTATTTCTGGAAAAGGAAACCCTTGCTTATGGCAAGGTTTAATCATAAGTTCATGTATAAATATCTAGCCTATATGCTGTATCGTCAAAGAGAGACGACGTCTGCTCACAAGAAAGACGTATAGATATAGTTGATCATAAATGTATTTTCTGTTTAGTAACTAATGTTCCAAACCATTGTTGTGTGTTTTGGCAGACAAACTACGCGTTCTGTCTTTTTAACACGTCGAACAGGTTCTTTGGTGTTCTGACAAATTTTATTGATGATATCCTTCTGTATCACAATCTTTCATGACCAGCACTTAACCATTTAAGTGATTAATTATGGATTGGGATTACTCACTGTTTTGCATAGTCAGCTAGAGAAACTGGAGTTCTCTGACAGAATAAAACTATGTGGCTGATCCTGGAATGTACAAGAGACACCCCGATTGTGTGCATGGGATGCATCCTTGCCGACTATTGCATATAGGCTAAAGCTGCTGCAGGCTAAGTCGAACCTCAGAGTAGCTGCAGACAGGGAACACCCTCTGTATGAAGCTTCAGCTGCAGGTAGGGGTCAGAGCCTGAAAAGAGGACAATCATGGATGGCTCAAGCAGAAGACACAAAAAGATGAGTATGCATGTTGGAAAACATTGGTCAAGGCGAGGAGTGTTTCAGAGTACCAGCGGAAAATTCTGACCTGAGTAGAGTTATAATCACATTTTGCCGGGTGTGCAGAGAGTGGCCAGCGGGTGCTACAGAGGTGGAAGTCCAGCTGTTGATTCAATACAATTCACGCCCAGGTGATCTGATTATCTATATAGATGATTCGGTGTTGGGAGGAAAGAAAAGCGTTTAGGGGTTCCTATTGAAAGTCAGTGTAAAATCTTTAGTGCAAGACAGCCTGGCATACGACATCACAACATCTAGCATGAGACTGGAGGTGGAGACCGTAACTGGAGCTTTCCGGGGGCTAGAGAACAAGATGCATACATATGTCTTAATCTTAACAGACTCTGATAGCATGTTGAGAAATGTGGACAGGGATGCTTCGAGCAGAGCGGCAAACTTCACAGGAAAGGTCACGGATAGTGAGCATACCTTGGATCCTCTCTCGAGGCTTCGCCGGTGTAGCGAATAATGAAAAGGCAGACAGATTGGCTTGCCCACCGGAGGGCTGCAGTTACCCCCTCCACCTCTATTCTCATACTAGATGTTGTGGTTTTAGACTTACTAGTACATTATCTCTCCACGGTGATTTCTGGTCTGCCTCGTGGTATACTTCAACACTTTCCTGTGCGCAGTTTCTATTTTTTCAGTATCAATACACAAACCACTGTCGCCTATCGGCGCTCACGTTGCTGGTAATCTGTAGTGATTTAAACAGACTGTAAATTTCGTTTTTGTTTCTTACTCTCCATTCCCCGCTGTGTGTATATCTGATAAATCCAAACGTTCACAGTAAGACTATTCTCAAAATATTGTCATACGGCCTCTTCAGTTTTTGTTGTACTCGAGGTTTCATAGCTAAAACAACAAATAGTTTTATGTGTGTCTTTTATGCAGCGATAATGTCGCAACTAGACAGAGCATTTAATTATAGAAGATTATATAGGACAAAATGTAATTTACTACAAGATTATTACACATTATGCCTAAATCATAAAAAAAAAAACGTAATACTCTTTTCCACGCCTTTGAGGCGTATGGGATTTATAGGGGTAGACCTATGTTTTATAGAACGGCACTTGGTGGGTGATGCGGTCAGCATCACGCCGGCCACCTTTACTTCCCAGGACCGCACCTGATACCCACTCAAGGCAGTGTTGACCTGGGAGCTAGGTTATTTTTTTTTTTCAAAGTCCGGCCCAGATACTTAAAATACAAATGCAATATTATTTTACAGATTGATTCTCTATAAACAAATCACATAGACAAAGCTGCCATGTCAGTCAACAGACAGAATTTCACCCTTTTGCTTGCTATCTTGGGGACATTAACAGTTGGCTCTGTCACTGCTCAGGTTTGGATTGTGTTTAATTTTCATGTTTTATTTTCTCTTCGCTATTCCCACGAGTATTTAAAAAAAAGCGAATAAGTAAAGTAACGGACGAAAAGGTAAAAGATTAGCAATATAAAGGCAACGGAGTGAAAAGGATAAGCAAATAAATGGTAAGTAAATGACGAAGAGAGGATAAGTAAAACAAAGAAAAAGTAAAAAAAATTGGAGTAAGTAAAAATAAATGATAAGTAAGGACTAGTTTGAGTGATTGATAAAATGAGGTTAAAAATATTCACACTTGGTGAAAAATAAAGTAAACGATAGGCGAATTACCAAAAGACCAAGTTTAAAGATAGTGTAAGTAGACTAAAAGATAGTTAAAGTATACAATAAGTAAAGTATAGTAAGTGTTCAGTAATGGTTAAGGGGAAGATAAGCAAAGTTTAAGAAAAGGATAATTAAAGTAAAAGATAAGTGAAGTTAAAGGTAAGTTAAGCACACACACAAAAGTAATCCCATCACGGGTTATGTTATGTCAAAAGGCTATTAAGTATACTGTCGTTTATGTAAGTGTACAAGATAGCGTCTTAAAAGTATAGTTGTCTTGCTATCTTTAAGAAAAGGATTCTTGCTAGTGATCTTTCAGGCACACAACAAAAAAGTAACTCTATCACGGGTTACTGTTCTTTAAAGGCTTTCTTTCTTTCGTGTCTTTCTTTCTTTCTTTTCTTTTCTTCTTTCTCTTTCTTTTCTTTCTTTTTTCTTTCTTTCTTTCTTTCTTTCTTTCTTCTTTTCTTTATAGCTTCTTTCTTCTTTCCTTTCTTCTTTCTTTTCTTTCTTTCTTTCTTTCTTTCTTTTCTTTCTTTCTTTTCTTTCTTTTCTTTCTATCTTTTGGACTTTCTTTCTTTCTTTTTCTTTCTTTCTTTCTTTCTTTCTTTCCTTCTTTCTTTTCTTTCTTTCTTTCTTTCTTTCTTTCTTCTTTCTTTCTTTCGGAGTCTTTCTTCTTTCTTTCTTTCTTTCTTTCTTTCTTTCTTTCTTTCTCTTCTTTCTTTCTTTCTTTTCTTTCTTTTCTTTCTTTCTTCTTTCTTTCTTTCTTTCTTTCTCTTTTCTTTTTCTTTCTTTCTTTCTTTCTTTCTTTCTTTCTTTCTTTTTTCTTTCTCCTTTTCTTTCTTTCTTTCTTTCTTTCTTTTGACTTTCTTTCTTTTTCTTTTCTTTCTTTCTGTTTTATTGTCTTTATTTCTTTCTTTCTTTTTCTTTCTTTCTTTCTTTCTTTCTTTCTTTCTGTCTTTCTGTCTTTCTTTTCTTTCTTTCTTTCTTTCTTTCTTTCTTTCTTTCTTTCTTTCTTTCTTTCTTTCTTTCTTTCTTTCTTTCTTTCTTTCTTCTTTTTTCTTTCTTCTTCTTTCTTTCTTTCTTTCTTTCTTTCTTTTCTTTCTTTCTTTCTTTCTTTCTTTTTCTTTCTTTCTTTCTTTCTTTCTCTTTCTTTCTTTCTTTCTTTCTTCTTCTTTCTTTCTTTCATCTTTCTTTCTTTCTTTCTTTCTTTCCCCCCCCTCTCTCTCTCTCTCTCTCTCTCCCCCGTCTCTCTCTCAGTTATACATCTCCGTAGTTGTCATATGTTTCGTTGTCTTTCTCCTCAAATTGTGGATGTCTCTTTTTCATGTTTATGGTAATTAGTCTTCATGTCGACAATTTTTGTTTGTTTAGTGTTTAGTTGTTGATGTGGATTACTTATTTTGGCTTACCGGGCGTTTGAAGCATTCTTCCCAATATATATATATATATATATATATATATATATATATATATATATATATATATATATATAATAGATATAGATATAATATAAAGAGAGAGAGAAAGAGAGATAATTGTTCCTCTACCTCTTTCCTCTCATGTCCCCTCCCCCATGAGCAAGTTTTTTTTTTTGAGAAGGAAAACTATATAGATATATATATACACCTCAATAAAGTCATCAAAAGAAATTATTGTGTGATGGTGGGTGGGTGGGAGTGGGGGGTGGTTAGGCCTCTCAATGAGTTTAACTGACAGTTCGCCATAGTGTCATAATGTCATTTTTTGAACCCCTATAAGACTCAGACATTTGGTGTTTAAAAGTAGCAGCCAGTTCATAGCTGTTGTAACTTCACGGGGAAACAAACAAAATGCCAGTAGCTGTTCCTTGCAACAAATCGCTAACAAACATATGCATTAAATGCACAAGGCATCAGTTGGAAATGCTAACACAAATTTTGCAACTAGAATTGCATTTCATCGTAGATTGAAGTAAATGCAAACAACTGGGGTTTGCACAGGCAATAAGTCATAAGGCACCGCCAGTTCTTGGGCAACACACCACCCGCCATTTTCGGAATCTGCATTTCATATTACAAAGCATTCCTCGTGAAATCATGAGTACGGTCTTTCTCACCAAGTAATAAAAACACGCGCAGTGGATAATTATGTGTTTTCTTTCTTTTTGTTTTTGTTTTAACAGTATGATTTACTCCGCAGAATTTTGCAGCTTATACTTTGAATCCTGTGCCTATAATTGTGAACCTGGACGCTACAAGCCCTGCGATTATCTTACAGAGCCCTAACTTTGGAATTGCTAACTATGAGAACCTTAGTAACTACACACTGACTATTCGTTCTGGCTCAGTTCCACTGGTTTTGGTATTTTCCTTCAGGTAAATGTTATCTCTCTCTCTCTCTCTCTCTCTCTCTCTCTCTCTCTCTCTCTCTCTCTCTCTCTCTCTCTCTATTTCTTTAATTTCATCCCGTTTTTTTCTATCTCTCTCTATCTCTCCAACCCCCTTTTCTTTATTTTCATCCCATGTTTCTCTCTCTCTTTCTTTCTCTCACTCGCGTCTAGGTGCACACAATAGCAACAGTTACAGCAATGACAACATGCCCAACTTGTTCACCTATCGAAACTTTTATTTCTACGTTTAATATCACCACTATCTACATCAACATCCCTATTATTACAACTATCTTCTACAACAACAACAACAAGAACAAGAACAACTATTGCTGCTACTACTACTACTACTACTACTACTACTACTACTACTACTACTACTACTACTACTACTACTACTACTACTACTACTACTACTACTACTACTACTACTACTACTACTAGAACAACAACTACTACTAGATCAATAACTACTACTCCTACAACTATACTACTACTACAACTACTACTACTACTACTACTACTACTACTACTACTACTACTACTACTATTACTGCTGCTGCTGCTACTAATACTACTACTAAAACAACAATAACAAAAACATCTACTACTACTACTACTTCTACTACAGTAACAACTACTACTACTACTACTACAACTACTACTACAGCTACTAACACTACTTCAACAACAACTACTACTGCTACTTCTACTACTACTACTACTATAACTACTACTACTATAACTACTACTGCTACTACTACTAGTACTATTACAACTTCAACTACAACTACTATTACTACTACATCAACAACAACATCTACTACTACTACTGCAACTTCTACAACGACAACATCAACTACTACTACTACAACTATTATTACAACAACAACAACAACTTTTACTAATACTACTACAACTACTACTACTATTAGTACTAGTACATCTACTACAACTACTACTACTTTGTGTCATCAATTGCAAAATAGATACCAAAGAATGTAAAGAAATTAATCGAAGCTTTAATTATTTTGTTGTTTTTTATCATTGTTTGTTTCAGACACTTTAACTTAGAGTATGAACAATCCTGTTTGTACGACGCTCTCTATCTGCGAGAAGACGCATTCTGTGGGACCTGGGCCGCCGGACGTGAGTTTCCATACCTCTTTCTACCGCAGAGGGAGTTCACTATTCGTTTCAAGACAGATGAGAGCGTCAGAAGACCAGGTTTTCAGGTGAGTGTTACACTTATTGGGTCGCCGCTGTGGTGCAACAGCTTCACGCTCGCCTGGGGATAGGAAGGTCGCAGGTTCATGTACTGACAGGTCGGCAGATTCTTGAATGTGTATGAGATACCACTGGTGTAGCGGCTAGACGCAGGCGTTTTGGTTCAAATGCAGAGGAACGCTATTGAAAACTATTCTCTTGGCTCTCAGGTAAATCCAGCCTTGTTTGTTTGTTTGTTTTAGTATCCAGAAGCCATGAGTTGTTAACATTTAGGCTCGGTATTATGGATATCGCAACTTTTCGGCCTTGATTCCATTTTAAATACCGTAAATCTGGGAGATATGTGGCTTTTCCGCCCACCCCCGGGAGTGAACCCGGACTACAAGGAGTTCGTCACCCGCTCACCGCGCAATCCGGTTTAGCCAACTACGCTAGAGAGACGGGCGTCAATCCAGCCTTAAATGGGTATCAGGTAAAGTGCTGGAAAGTAAAGGCGGCGGGTGGCATAATGACTACATCACCCACTAAGTGCCGATTCGTCTATGAAATATAAGTCTAGCCCAACGCGCGTAAAGGCGTTTCAGGGGTCGAGTACCCTCTACCTCTCCCACCCATACAATTAAAAAGGCTGAAGTCCCTGACATCCCCCACCCCTCCCCTCTTTACTCAAACTAGGTTTAAGATATTTTCTGTTTGAATGTTTGCTTTTCAAATTTGCAATCATTTGGCATACATAGGAATGTTTATGTCCCAGTTAGCGCATAGGAAATAATAATACAAATTATTGCTGTTATGTACTTAAGCAAGGATTAAAACATGTAAGCTGTACCCCAGCCTTCTAGAAAAATTGTAAAGAATTGTTTGTTTGTTTGTTTTAGTATCCAGAAGCCATGAGTTGTTAACCATTAGGCTCGGTATTATGGATATCGCAACCTTTCGGCCTTGATTCCATTGTAAATACCGTAAATCTGGCAGAAATGTGGCTTTTCTGCCCACCCCCGGGAGTAAACCCGGACCACAAGGAGTTCGTCACCCGCTCACCGCGCAATCCGGTTTAGCCAACTACGCTAGAGAGAAGGGCTATAAAGAATTAAACGACCGTTGGAATAATTTCTTTGTTGCGTCGCCCGTGGTCACTTTATGTTCACAACTCATGGCTGTCATCATAGAAAAGATGCCCCACTAGGGGGGGGGGGGGGGGGAGGGGGTTAAACTAGGCGATAAGTCCTGCTTGTTCGCCCACTTTGGGACTGAGGTCTTTTCAAGACGTGAGAGATGCGTGCACATCCATTTTACAAATCTGGCCAACGTGTGTGTGCCGATTGCTGGTTTATTTTCGCTCAGGCAGATGCATTAGTGATTAGTGATTTTAAAGGATTATCATCACATCATTCCAGACAGATCCATAGGTGCTCCTATCTCCTCCTCGAAAGCTCTACAAGTGTAAAACGACTGATGACGCCTTTTCTGTGTTGGTTAATAAAACGTCTTGTCCCCTTAGTGAAATGTTCATTTCTTGCAGCTCCAGGATCTGCGTCTATCAGTCTAGACAGAGATACAGTGATGTCATTTGGCGTGCTCCATGGTACAGTAAGTGCAGCGCATGGCATTGATAACATCACTTCTGTCCAGTACTGGGTAAGCCACAGCAACCACAGTGTCAGCAAGATAATCTGCACGATCGTTGCCTTGAATACACACATAACCTGATACAAAGATGAAGCTTAGGGCAGCTATTAGTGAAGTGCTTAGTATGCAGATGCATTCCAATTTCTAATGAAACCTCGATCATATTTATGTAAGTCAGGATCTCGTCTGGGAAGCTGTTTCTACAACTGCTGAGACCTGTATGTAGGCGTCGATCTGTACGAGCCCTAATCCTCATGCACATCTGGGTCCTGGTCACACGATGAAGCCTGCCCTCCAATTGAATCTCCTGCTCCTGAAAACTCAGTATCATTCGTGCAATCCATTATGTCATCGTTGTTCTTGCATTGCTATTTCCCCGTGTGGGGTCTGCGGCCCCATTATGGGAAAAACAATAATAGACTCACTGCCTGCCCAAAAGCATGTCGTAAGAGTCGACTAATTGGGAGTAGAGGCAAGGAACCAACAGTCTGCATGCAGATAACTCAAACCCGTGAAACCTATGTACACGCAACACTCAGTTTCTGGAGCAGGACTAGAGTCCAGAAGTGGACGAACAACCAGAACTTTTCCGCTGGAGTTTACAGCCGGCGAACGCGAAAAAGAATAAGAATAAGATATTTCTTTCCCCTCTCCTTGAAATTGATAAAATTCGACATTTGTTTAGATACTTGTGGATCCAGAACCAGCAGATAACGTGTATGACGACTACAACGGCGATTACCCAAACTACTTATTCTCAAATTAATAAACATAATTTTTCCTGATCAAATATTGGTTATGTATTATCGTTTTTTTTTCCTGAGTTTTTCACCATCACCACGTCGCTGTCTGTTGCTTTAGCGTTGCTAACGCGCTTCCTAACACCAGGGTGCCGGGTTCGATTTCAGTTGCTGGTATTGCGCTGCTTTCGACAGTCGGATCGATAAGCTGAACGCCCAGGAAGCAATGGCAAACTAGTGTGGACGTAAATGTACCTAGGAAAAAACCGCAAAAGCTAAAAATTGCTGGGTTTGGTTTGGTTCTGCAGTATCCAGTAAAGGATACACATCTAACTGAACACCATCACAACTATTATCGAAATCATCATCATTCTCATCACACTCCTCCTATATCTGTCAATCTTTTTTCTGGAGTAGTTTCCCAGAGAGATCCCCTCTTCTTCTCACCTGTGAACACCAACAGTTGTCATGACGTTTCTTTTGTATCTTTACTTTTCGTGAATTCGTCTGTTTTAATAACCCTCCCTCCACCCACCCCACCCCCTGCCCCGACACTCCAACTTTTGTTTTAAAGACAAGAATACATGTCATTATAACCGGGTAGCCCCATAAGTGGTTCTGTCTGCTTCCATTGGTTACACAAGATGGATCGCGGCAATCTCAAAGGTCAAAACACGTCAAAAATATCAAAAGTCAAAAGCCATGCTATTATTTTCAAAACACTTTCATACAAGCGCATATAATTATTACATTAGGAAATATGTTAATAAAAGCAGACGCACTTAAAAAAAAAAAAAAAACATTCCCTAATACATTTGAAGTATGAAAACAACTCAACGACAACCATGAAGATCACGTGAAACTTGGTTTGCTGACCATAAATTCACATTTTTAATATGGTTTCTTTATTTAAATTTTCCTACAACCAGATAGTAAGTGATAAGTAGTAATTGTGTTGACTGACATTCCAAATAAAATGGCTACTGTTCGTCCACAGAGTTAACTTCTAATTTGTTTAACAATCAACAGACTTATCTTCTTTCATCTTTTGCAACAACCATTGCCACCTTACAAAGAATGGGAGCTATATAGCCTGGTTGAAAGTAGTTTTCATCTATACGTGAAGCCACAGGACCGCTTGCAGTGTTACACTCTACTATCCAAACAATTGTGGGGAGATTTCAGGGCACATGAAGTGTGGAGGATCGCCACCGGTCATGTCGCCCTAGATGCACCAATAGACATGTTGACCAGTACCTCTTGCTGTTAGCCCTTAGCTCTGCGCCATCGGACAAGGACTTGTTCGCCTTTAAGATGTCTGCTGAGCCAAACTGTAAACGTTAATATCAGTCAAAGCACTGCTCGCATACATTTACATTGATCTGGGCCGGCTGCTTTCGTCCTGCAGAAAGAATGGCTTTTACTACTGCTCATCGCAGAACCAGTGTTTATTGTTGTTGCGATCACATCCTATAAACAAGACAAGAGTGAAATCGAGCACTCTTCATTGATGAATCTCGCTTTGCTATGCCATTCAATGGTGGCAGAATTCAGAATCAACAAAAAGAGCAATTTATTGACGACACAATCGGAGAGATGCATCGCTATAGTAAGGTTATTGTCATGGTCTAGGAAGGCTTCTACAGACACGACAGAACCCGACTCAACAACATTCAAGGAAATTTCATCAGCCCAAAAATACCAGAAGAAAATCTTGAGACTAGTTGTTCAGCCTGCTCTGGAGGCCAAATGCGGTAATGCTATCCTACAAAAGGAAAGAGTTCAACACCATCGAGCTCGTGTGATGAATGACTTTATACAGCAACATAAGGTCATCTGACCTTTCCTCGACTGAGCACCTCTGTAATTTCTTTGGTCGAAGATCGTCAACAAATCACCCCCTGCCAAAGGATGTTGCACATCTGACTGCATTTCTGCTTGAGGAATGGCAAGCTGTTCCTCGGGGATACTCTTCAGACCCCTCTGGACTCGTTGCGTCTACGCTGTCTTGAATGCCTCGTGCAGACGGTGGTCATACCCGATTTTGGAATGTTTAGTTGTCCAGTATGTATTGTGTGACTTTTCAAAAGGTGGGTAGCATACTTAACAGCTTCGTTACATTTAAATGGCTGTTTCCACATGTTTACGAGACATGTCAGTTTGGTGCTCTCTTCTTCTTCATGTTCACCAACTATAAACTCTGGCGGAAAGTTTTGTTTGGTAATCCATTTTTAACTGCAGTCTTCTTTCAGAACCTGAGTGTTGCATGTGCATCCGTTTTTTCAGGTCTGAATCATTTGTATGCAGACTGCTGGTTCCTTCCTCTCAGGCAGATGAACTCCGACTTTGAAGGAAGCTCCTAATTAGTCGACTCTTACGACATGCTTTTGGGTAGGCAGTGGGTCTGTTCTTGTTTTTTTTCCCCTATAATAGGGCCTTGGAACCTACACAGGGAAGTTTGATGTTCAATAAATGCTTTTTTTAGATTTGTTCCATGGCTTCAATCAAAGGTTCTTTCTAATTTAACCCCTTACTTTTGACGAGTAGCGTAATTAGTATTCCTGATAATAAATCCGCAAGCTGTGCTAGTATGTGAATTAACAAGTAACGAACTCTTTTGTACAATTTGTGACATATAACTACAGATCTTCCACTCTTTTTGAAAGATAAAGTAACAACTGATGGTGTTTAAAAATCCACGTCACGACACACCCTTTACTTTAAAAATACTTTCCTTGTACATGTTTTAGAGGAGCGGCGGGCCGAACGGTTAGAACGCTTGGATCTCAAGAAGAAGATCCTGATTCGAATCCCCGGTAAGGCTATGGGATTTTTTTGTGTTTCGGAGGCCAAAAAAAAAAAAAAAATCCCTACCTGCACAGTCGTGGCCACAGCACTAGCTATGCGGCCATAAATCCTCATGCTCAAACCCCCCCCCCCCCTCCCCCTCCTTTTCCCCTGCCTACACCGCAACAAAGTGGTACAATAAAGGTAATAACTGGCAATACACGATTTAGGCTAGGAAACCAAACCATTTGACACATTTTTCGTCGTGATTTCGGGCTCAAATCTGTGACAACAAGATAGGCAGACTACAGAGAATGTTGCAGTAAAAGTAACAGCAGCAGCAGCAGCAGTAGTAGTTGTGGAAGGTCGTAATGGCAAATGAAAGAAAGAAAATTACTTTTAAGTGTGTACATGTTATTCTATAATTATGGTAATACACCTATTTCGACACCTTTAAATTACATAAACAATTACGATTTGTTGTTTTAGCACACTGATAATTCAAAACAATATTTTTCGTTTGTTAATTTACAACACAAAAATGAAGACACAAGCAGTATAATTCACATTTTATTGCCTGAACTATTTCCGTGTATCTGGTGCTAACTGATCACAGTAAAGATAATCAGAAGTCTTAATCCTTGCATGGGCAGGACAAGTTAATTGGCAGGGATTGCTGTGTCGTTCGTGTCAACAGAAACACAGTTACCTGGAAGAAAATGTGGTGCCAAATTACTGCTGCTGCCGCTTCTACTACTGCAATTACTACTACTAATACTACAGCAATAGCAACAACAACTACTAACACAACGACGGTTACTGCTACTGCGGCTGCTGCCACCACCACCACTAATACAACTACAGCATCTGCTACAACTACTGCAACTACTAGTAAAATTACTGTTACTACTAATACAACAACAATAACTAATATTACTACAATTACCACTAATACAACTACTACTACATCGACGACTACTGATATTGTCCCTGCTACTTATGCTACAACAAGAACAACAATACTACTACTAATACAACAACACTAACGAATACTACTACAACTACCACTACTATTTCAACGACGACCTACTGCTAGTGCTGCTGCTGCTGCTGCGGTTGCTACTACTACCACTACTACTACTACTACTACTAATACTACTACTACTACTACTACTACTACTACTACTACTACTACTACTACTACTACTACTACTACTACTACTACTACTACTACTACTACTACTACTACTACTTCTGCTGCGGATGTTGCTACTACTACAGTAACTAATACAACTAAAAAACTAAAAAACGGCTACAACGACTATAGTTACTACTATCACAACAACAGTAACTAATACTACTACACCAACAAATACTACTACAACGACGACTACTGCTACTGCTGGTGCTACTACCTCTAACTACTGTTTCTACTACTATAGCAACTACTACAACTACTACTAATTCAACAGCAGTAACTAATACTACTACTATAGCTACTACAACAGCCACTACTATTACTACAGTTGCTACATCCAGTTTAATGGCAGCAACAACATCTACTACTGCAACTACAACTTCATCAACTGCAACTACTTCTACTACTCTAGCTGCTGCTAAAGCTATGACTGCTACTACTACTAGGTTTCATTATCATCATCACCAACATCATCTTTATCAATATCATTATCACTGACATCATCAGCGTAGCCATCATTATAATCATCAGTATGTGCCTTGTGAGAATGCGTAGAACTTCCTGTCTGTTCGCAACCTCAGTCGTTTGTGTTTATGATTTGTTTTGTTCATGAACATTATTTTAGGCCTACAATGCAAACGTTTTGGCACCCCCACTTCCAACTGGAGCTATGTCTGCTTTGTCTTTCTCTGTTCCTTCCAATTACCACGATGTTCTTTAATACCTCTCTTGCCATCACATGGTGCAGCGGTTGTCCGTTTAAAGTACAGGTCTTGTTTACGTGCTTTAAGGCACAGTAGGCATCTGCTGTGTGTGTGTGTGTGTGTGGGTGTGTGTGTGTCGTCCCATGACTGCTACCTTTATGTGCCAACTATAATCACACACAATTCCCTTCACTGTCTCATTCAAAAGCTTTTAAAGAAAACATGCCAGTCAAGTTCATAATCTTGATGCTCGCATACGCAAAGTAAATGCATAAGGCAGCTGTAGATGTACCAACACTAACAGTCTCACATCCGAATTCAGCTCACTGCTTGTACATGCAGTCAGTCTCCCCTCCTCCAATCTGTAAATAAATTAAACATGGGATTACATGAGCGCAAGAGCTACCATGGTTCGCAAGCTGCACTATTACCTGGTTCACCCAGTGGGATCTCGCCTTCGTCCTGGTTTCCTCCTTGGCAGTAGAACCCTGTTCCACATGGGCACAGGAAGTTGACATCATCGTCGATGCTATCACTGCGGTAACACTCTGGTACACAGATAAATTATTGTTAAATGCAACATTACAGTAAATAGGGGCACACTTCCCAAGTCGACATGTTTAGTTATATGGGTACATTGAAAACACGTCGCTATTTTCCAACGAAAGATAAATGGTTGTTGACGAACTATGCCCTAGCTCGGAAACCAATCATCTGTTTACCTGGGACAACTAGAGATGCAAAGCAGAAAATGGACAAAAGGGGAAAAAAAGTTGACGAATTTCTCTACTACCACTGTTAGCATTATCATCATCATAATCTTCATCGTCACATAAACAACACCATCGTTCAAAACTTCGCGGATAATTCCTTAATCTACCAGCTATAGATTCCTAAATAGGCTAGGGTTGCAACCCATTTCATCATCGTTGTCATCGTCATTATCATCCTCATCATGAGGAATAACAACAAGGGCAAACGCTATGGTTATGCAACACGATAGGACTGTCATTTAAAACCAGTTCTACTAAATCCTGGTATGGTATCAATAAATTACGTATCCTTTGCATGAGGTGACCAGACAATCCTTGCGTTTTTTCCCGCATCTGGTTTTACTAGAGAATTCTACTTTCCGTTGTTTGCTATTTCCTCAGCCATTGCTGGTTCCAAGCCAAGAATATGAAAGAGGAGGGTTAGGGGTGAGTCAGCTTCCCTTACCCTGTCAAAAAACTTCTTCTGCGACGCAATCTTGCAGAAAATGATGCTATTACGGTAAAGAAACGATTTAAGTGGTGCGTGGGGAACAGAGTGCAACTATGATGGCTACAGATGAAAGCCGCTCTGCTGAAGTCTCTGGCCTGATATGTACACTATTTGATTTAAAATTACAAAACGAAATAGCCGAATACACTACGGACCTATCTGATACATAATGACGACGATGACGATGTTTGTTGTTGCTTAGTGGACGAACAACGCTTATACTTTTGTCGAAATCAGCGCAAAACCGTCTGCTGACGTATAGCGAGCAGATGACAAACCATAAAGAGTAACTCTACTTAATCACAAAATAAAACAAAAACCAACGGAGAATATACAACGTCGTTAATATGTGACCTCCCAAACGGGACTGAAAAATGAAAGAAACTCAAACTCAAAAATCAAAGCCAAGACCAGATGAGAGAGACAAAACCTGTTGTACCAAAGAAATCCATGAAAGAGCTGGTGAAACGATCCAAACAGACTTTAGAAAATGGCACGAGTAGGAACGACAACTAACAGAGTACAGATTGTATCAAGCGGCAATTAAACGAGGAAGTACAAAAGAATACATGTAGTCCAGAAGAAAACATTTCAAGCTAGCAACATGACGATTGCCTTGAACATCTCCTTGGCTACATGAATGAAGACGACATACCGACAACATCGACAAAGCCTGGCGAAGATCACGAGAGCAACTGAGAGCCAAATGGCGGAAGAGCGATAACATATACTAAAACATCATGAACAACTGGTACAGCAACATCACTATGAAAAAGCCCAGGAGACAGCAAGTCAATAGCAGTTACACCACCAAGGGATGCCACAATAAGGAACACCTCACCTAATCAGACCCAAGACCTCATAATGAGGCGAACACGACCTGGCTTTCCTGATAGACACGGAAGACTTGAAATAGTAGCACCAGACACTATGAAACGCAACGAAACAGCAACTTAGTTTGTCACCATAATTATAACCGATATTAACTAGGAAAAGGCAAGCTCTCTTATCAGAGGTTGAGTTTAAAGTAACTAAGAAAAGGATCCTTTAGCATGACTTCAGACGAGTTGGGTACATAGGGCTAGACCTATATTTTATAGATATCAAATGGTACGTAGTTGTTGATGTAGTCAGCATCACACCGACCGCATTTACTTCCCAGGACTGTACCTGGTCCCGACTAGACGTTTAACGTGGCTAATTCAAATAGAACGAACGAAATTTTTCAGTATGGGACGCAATTTGTTGTTATTTTAAAGCCCCACCCCCCGTCGGGGGCTCCGATATAACCTAACGATTCAATGATGTTTATGGGACTTGACGGGGTAATTTTCACCTTAATGGTGGCTTTTTGTGTCACCGAGTTTTATCGCTCATCGTGCGATCTGGCGTCGTTGAATGTTACGCACTCACTCATGACTGTCATGAATAGCACTGTTGTGGACACGCTGCTCCCAAAATCCCATGATAGTCCTATCTCTTTAAGGGCGTTAAAATGTCGGCGCGATCCATAAGCCAGTGTAACAGAATCCCTACTCAAATTGCGTTTCGGTATTGAGGGACATAAACAACAGGCCCTATCATGTCCTTCACCCTTACTGTCGAACATTTGCACTGAGCTTAGTGACCGGCCCAAAACTACATGGTGTCCTTGGCCTGACCTTCTAGAGACTACCAATAGTTTGGCTAGACATCATGTGACCCTCCCTTAAAGTACTCAAAAATAAATTGTTTTCAACATTTTTGGAATTATTACCCTAAACCTATATTTTAGAAACGCAGTAGTAGTTTGCAAAACACACTGCTGGAAAGTTCTAGAAGCAGGCTAATGGCACCTATATAAGCGGCTGCCCGGACCCCATAAGGAGAGAGGAGGACACCGGCCAGCAGACCAAGAGAGAGAGCATGTTAGAGTAGTAGCAAAAGACTTAACGTTAATTGCATAGTTTATGAATAGCTGTAGAGTAGTAGTAACAGTAGTGAATTTGTTTGCTCTTGTAATATTTGAAGGTTTAAATAAAATAATTTTGTATCATCAAAAAGGAGTCAATGTTCTCCATAACCATATACTTAAGGAGACGTAGCGTAGGCTACGACATGATGGTAGTGATGACAGATGATAGGGGACAGGAAGAAGTACACCGTCTCCGTCGAGTCCACTTTGCCGTTGTTGTCCAACCCCCACTAGAACCTGGACTGGAGGATGATTCAGGGGTGGAGACTGATGGAGGAAGTAGCGAGGAAGAAGAAGAAGCTCATTAGTAAAAGAAAGCTGAGTGTGTGTCCAATTGACTAAATGACTGTACTTGTACAGCGCCAAAACCACGCAGGAGAAAAAGACACTTAGATACTGTTTCACCAGCCATCTGCAGCTAAGGCAGAACCAGTCAATTCATTAGTTCTGTCGTTGCCAACAACACTGGCATACCCTGCAACTAAGATCAAAGCAACTCCCCACACAGTCTAGCTCCACACATTGTATGTGTATCGAGCTTGCCTCGAACCGCTGGATCATGCGTATAGAAGAGTTTCGCGAATAGCCCTGTTGTTCCAGCACTATGAACATGTGTGTCACCACCATGATCTAATTCATCATGCTGCTAGCAATCATAGAAGAGTTACCTCTGGCTTGATGCACTTTGTAAATTAAGTCGTCATCTTGTCGGATGCAATACTTGTTTTTTTTTAAGCTCCACCCTGGCTTTGGCCGAGGGCCCTGAATATAGCCGGGCCATAAATATGGTCTAGCCATAGATATGGCCTAAACTGCTGAAAGGGATTTCTGGGATCTCTTCACGGGTGATCTTCATTTGCATGGTGGCACTTTGTATCACTGGGTGTTTATCGCTTGTGTGAGTTCCTGGTAGGGTACAACTACCTACGTACCTACCGCTGGCTTGATGGACTGCTTTGCCTGCAGGGCGAGCTGTGACTGCCCATGGACTCCTGTGTCCTCGTCCACCTAAACTCACCAGCACATCGACCACATCAGATTTGTCATTAGTAATCGTAAAGAAATGTGTTCAGGTACTTCCGTACCCTGATAACAACCGACGGAAGATGTATCAAAGAAGTTCATGGCTCTTCCCCGCACTAGACTGCAGGTTATATCGGGCTGGTGTATCTGTTACAGCTGCCATAGTTATAACCTCTTTGGAAGTTTTACTAAGGTACCGATATTATGGGTCAAACCTCCAAGCAGCAGTCCTGAGGGGTGAGGAAGGAAGAAAAAACTCAACGTCAACGATGATAGCAACAGCATCGTTTAAACACTGTATGACGTCCATAAATATACTTTAGTAAACAAACATGAAGAAGCTGAATTGAGAAAAACTCTAGAAAACATAGCGTGCCATGGATAAGAGAGGAAGAAGGAATTAGTAAAAAAAAAAGGGAAGAAAAATATGTGGAAGGAAGAAAAGAAGAAATAAGAAAGGAAGGATGAATATGAAAGAGGGAATGAAAAAACCTCAATGAAGATGGAAAGAAAGAAAAGAAAAGAAAAAGGAACGTAAACGGAATACGGAAGGTTAAAACAGAAGAAAGGAAGCAGAAATAGGAGTTCGGAAGGAACAAGAAAAAGTTCGAGAGAAAACATACTGTCATTTGCAGTCCCTAATCTCCTGCATGTTCCCACGAAAGATTCTCGCTTGGCTCTGTTGCTTGGCACGGTTAGGTCGGCACAACATTCATCTTTTGGGCAGTCCCATTTAGTAGAGCAATGTTTCACACATTTTCCTGGGCAGGGGAAAAAAAAGCCGTTGTACCATCATCGTCATCACCATCAACACTACCAGCACCACCACCGTCATTGTCAACATCATATAGTGTCTACACTATATTGATAAAACACCCGTTAACTAGACCTCCATTAGGCTACCACCTCTTAACGACTTCTTGAGTTATTGATAACACATCAGTTAACTAGATCTTTATTAGGCACCACCTCTTAACGACTTCTTGAGTTATTGATAACACATCAGTTAACTAGACCTCTATTAGGCTACAACCTCTTAACAACTTCTTGGTTATTGATAATAGTGTTAAACATACCTTAGTGTTATCACACTTTCAATACTTACTATTATTACAGTTTTGAAATATAGGTATTATCTTCTCTTCACAGTCCAAGCCGTGTGGTGTTGGTAATCGTTGCACAACATGCTGTCTCGTGTACATTTAATCATCTCTGACGCAGATGATCCTATATGCCAGACTGTCCAGCATCTGTTCTCTGGGTCTCCCTCTGCCTCTCCTCCCTTCCAACTTTACTACTGTCACGATATACTCCAGTTTTCTCCTTCTCATCACAAGACCAAAGAATGTAGACTGTCTATTTTTGATGTGGAAAATCAGTTCAATGTATGTATTTTTACAGCATACTCCAGGAATTGTGTCTAAAAATTAAATGTTTAATTTCGGTCAGTCAGTCGGTCAGTTAGTTAGTTAGATGGTAAGTGGGTTAGTCAGTCAGTCAGAGAAAGGTCTGCACCGGTATTTTGAGAACTTATTGGTTACACCTGTTACATAGCCTCATTTGTTGAACATCTCGTACATAATCATGAGATCATCTTTTAACCTTGATGAGACCAGTCTTTTTATAAGGCTCTAAAATTTAAAGCACAGCTAAAAGAGATGAAGCATTATTACAGGTTGTCGAAAACAGAATTTTACGACGAATCTTTGGACCCATCAAAGATGCAAACAGCGGAGAGTGGAGAGTGAGAAGCAACAACGAAACTGATAAACTGTTTAAATCACAATTGATAACTGATAAACTGAAATGGTTGGGGCATATTGAGAGAATGTCAGATGAAAGAAAAATAAAAACTGTATACACAAGAGAGATAAATGGTTGTAAACCGCGAGGCCGACCAAAAAGTCGACGAAGAGATAATATCCAGACCGACCTGCAAACCCTTGGTGTCCCCAGCTGGAAAGAGAAGACCAACCAGAGAAATTAGCGGAGGCGGGTGATATCTGCAGCAATGAACCTCAAGGGATCGGAATGCTGAAGAAGAAGGCCAACCAGAGAGGTGAATGGAGGCGGGTGATATTTGCAGCAATGAACCTCAAGGGCTCGGAATGCTGAAGAAGGATAACCAGAGAGGTGAATGGAGGCGGGTGATATCTACAGCAATGAACCTCAAGGGATCGGAATGCCAAAGAAGAAGAAGAATTACCGAATAACTGACTACATAAAGACAAAAACAATGAAAAAATGAATACAACGATAAATAACTAACCGATTAACTAATTACCTAACCAGCTAACTAGACAGCTTACTAACTAATTAAATAAATTCGTAACCGATTAACTAACTGTTTAACCTAACTGACCGTTTTCCTCAGAAGTATCAACTCTGTCGCAGATGTATCCATCTACACACGGACAGGCAAAGTTGAAGATACTGCTATTGAATGTGTTCAGCAGTCTTTCGTTGGGCACATGGCAGTCTGCAAACACATTTACCAAAAAATATATAAACCTGAACGAAAAGTATATCACCGAGCTTTACAATTTAACAAACAAAAACAAAACATTAACGTTGCGGCTATGGAGCCTTCATGAGCACACACACACAAATTAGACAATTCTACTCAAATACACACTATCATCTTTAAAAAAACTTAGAATTTTACCAGATTATAGTTATTTTGTGGTGTAGCGGCAAGCGTTCGCATGTGGACCAGAAGGCCATCGGTTCGAGTCTTGGCGGAACCCGACTCTTTTCCAACCGGGTCGAAAAAGGATAACTAGTGACTTTAAAAACAGTATTGACTGCAGAAACAGTGCTGGCTAAGAACAATTCAGACACAAAAAATACATTACCCAAATTATTGCCAGGCATATTTCGCTGTGTCTCGTCAGGTGCGTTACTACAAAGTTACATCAACAAACCAAAGCACAACAGTGAAAAAATCCAGCTGAAATGCCTATGGTTTCTTTGATGTATCGTATTTGTCTATTCGCCAGAGGTTCACTGTATTCATGTATCTCACCGTGGTAATGTCAAGTTTACTATAAATTCCGTCAGCTTACAAAAGAGGGGGTTGCTGATATTAATTGTTAAAGCCTCTGCCATTCTCAGCAGTTGCCAGTTCTGTGTGTGGTAAAAAACACAAAAAAACACTGTCCAAGTCAATTACGTGTCTGGAACGAAGCAAATGACGTCCAACAGAAGAAGTAGGTTTTTCCTCTTGATTGGTCTCGACACACTTGAAGAAAAGTATACTATACTTGGAGACCCTGGGTGGCGTCATCATCTCACTGCTGATTTTGTAATGTTATGCTATAATAATCGACAACACTGCACTTTGGGCATTCTAACGAGTGCTCAGTCCTCCAATGCAGCAGCCACTGCAAGGTATGCTGATATCAATGCGTTAATCAAACAAGAAAACTGATTACTAATAACTGATTTTAAACCAGCACGAAAATAATCACATGACACCCAAAGAATTTGAAAGGACGGGACAGCTGTCGAGGACCGAGTTACTTTCAGGCAGACCGTAATCCTAGCAAAGTTCTGGAAACGACCTACTGCATAATTTTGACTGGCAGTCATCAGTAACTGCTTTAGTGGTTACGGTCTGAAGTGATACATTTCAAAGCTTACATTCAGTGAACATTTACACAGGTGACCCGTCTCCCGCAGCAAGTGTCATAAGTTGTAGGTGTGGAATAGCAAGTCCATATTTATATATTGCCTGCTTCAATTTGGGAGCCACAGAAGAAGCAGAAGAAGAAGAAGAAGAAGAAGAAGAAGAAGAAGAAGAAGAAGAAGAAGAAGAAGAAGAAGAAGAAGAAGAAGAAGAAGAAGAGGAAGAAGAAGAAGAAGAAAAAGAAGAAGAAGAAGAAGAAGAAGAAGAAGAAGAAGAAGAAGAAGAAGAAGAAGAAGAAGAAGAAGAAGAAGAAGAAGAAGAAGAAGAAGAAGAAGAAGAAGAAGAAGAAGAAGAAGAAGAAGAAGAAGAAGAAGAAGAAGAAGAAGAGAGGTCTGAAGTGATACATTTCAAAGCTTACATTCAGTGAACATTTACACAGGTGACCCGTCTCCCGCAGCAAGTGTCATAAGTTGTAGGTGTGGAATAGCAAGTCCATATTTATATATTGCCTGCTTCAATTTGGGAGCCACAGAAGAAGCAGAAGAAGAAGAAGAAGAAGAAGAAGAAGAGGAAGAAGAAGAAGAAGAAGAAGAAGAAGAAGAAGATGAAGAAGAAGAAGAAGAAAAAGAAGAAGAAGAAGAAGAAGAAGAAGAAGAAGAAGAAGAAGAAGAAGAAGAAGAAGAAGAAGAAGAAGAAGAAGAAGAAGAAGAAGAAGAAGAAGAAGAAGAAGAAGAAGAAGATGAAGAAAGGGTTAGTGTAGAAGGAATTGATGGGTGTTGGGGACAAATTAAGACGAAAAGAAGTCAATAGCCACAAAGTCCTTTAAAGATGTGAAAATCAAAGAAGAATGGGTAGTAAACAACATCTTGTCTCGGAATATGAAATATTTTGGCGAAATGAAGCGCCACGGCAGACATGACACAAGTAATAGAAGAAGGCATGATACCAAGACAGTGGGGCTGACGTCGACCAGCACGAAAATGGACAGATGACATCAGTGGCACCTTGGTTAGGAGAGTGCATGAGGCGGGAGAACTGGCGAGAGACCGAGTTGCTTCCAGGAAGACTTTGATGAGAGCAATGATCTGCAAAAGACTGCCTATTCGATGACGAGCTTTTGAGGTATGAACAACGGATCAACATCATGGCACACGGGTAGTAACCTATAAGTGCTCCGTTCTACTTCTAACTCAAGTCTGAGTCCGAAGAAGCTCAGCATGGTGCACAGGCTCTATAGCACCGGCGAGGATCTTAAAATACTTTTTGGTGTAGAGTTTTAACTGAAAATTTTGTCCGGGCAGCTCCGTTAGGCTACTATTTTCGATTTCCAACTGCCTAGGGATTTGGGAGTCAGATCTCACTGCCCAGAGACCAGGGGAAATTACTAGAAGTCCAAGTCCACGTGAAAAAAACCGCGGATTAAACCCGAAACCACTAGCACTCGAGGCGGACACAATGCCTCGAGACCACGAATTCCCTTAGGAGGACGATAACCACACAGGAAAAAGAACACAAGCATACTCACCACTGCCATCAACACCCAGCGGAGAACAGATCCTGGTTTCATCGTTCCAGGGATACTTGTAGAGGCAGCAGTGGTTCGAGGGACATTTATCGCTGGAGTGACAGTCCTCAATTACTGCTGAACTGGCAACGACCTGAAGTTATATATTTAAAAGCTTACATTAAGGAAGTGCATAATGCTCATTCATAAAGGTAAAGGTAAAGTCGGGAGATGTGAACCAGCGTCACTGCACACGGTTATAAACCATAAATGCTCTGCCTTCAGTACGGACAGCTGATAAGAAACTGTCCGCCTGTGTCGCCGTCTGAGGGCAACTCCCCAGCTACAGCGACGTTCCTCCATTTACCCCAAAAGGTTAACTCTGGCACCCATTACTTAGAAGCTGGATGGACCCTGGGAACCGCCCGGTTTCGAACACCGGCCGTGGGCTGCAGCGAGTCTCAGCTGGATTTGAAAGCGAGTCTCCTATCGACTGCGCTAAGGCGGCCCCCTGCTCATTCATAACAAACTTATTATTAGTCTGCAGGTGCTTTACAAAACGTGGCTCTCATCACTGCACACCTGAAAGTCTCTCTTTCTCCATCTGATACTTTAACCCTTTCATAGCCAATGCATCTTTAATGCCGGCGTAATTCTGACCATATTACCCACCGAGTGCCGATTGGTCTGTAAAAATATGGGTGCTCTTCCCATATGCCCGATGCGCCTATAGGCATGTAAAGGGATCTTTACTTTACTTTTTACTTTTTATTTATCTTCCTGGAGGTCGACCTTTGCTTCTTTTTCCGGAAATTGCAATATTTAATACAGTTCTCTCAAGTCCGCAGCCATGATACTCAACACTACTCCAATAGCGACACTATAATGATCCCTTCATTCACCAACAGGTAACTTCGGCGCACAGGTCAGAGAAATACTGCGCTCCTCACCCGCCCCTCTCCCCCAGTAATTGTCAACTTTTTCAATACCAGAAGGTTTACAGGAGTTACGAAAGGAAAGAAATAATCACGAAGGAAATTAATTGGAAATCACGAAGTATTAATTGATTCCGAAGTAGCTACATTACAGTGGCTAAAATCATCGAGGAAGCCAGATTTCTATAGTATGTTCTCTTAACATTTGTAAAGGTAACAGTAAAAGTTTTGAAGGGACATCAAAGGACAGAGACACTTACATATAAGGGAGCGTTTTTTTTTTTTTTTTTTTTTTGGGGGGGGGGGGGGGGCAATAGCTAAATAGATAGAGACAGACAGACATAGAGACAGACAGACATAGAGATCGACAGATTAGATAGATAGATAGATAGATAGATAGATAGATAGATAGATAGATAGATAGATAGATAGATAGATAGATAGATAGATAGATAGATAGATAGATAGATAGATAGATAGATAGATAGATAGATAGATAGATAGATAGATAGATAGATAGATAGATAGATAGATAGATAGATAGATAGATAGATAGATAGATAGATAGATAGATAGATAGATAGATAGATAGATAGATAGATAGATAGATAGAATGAACGAACGAACAAACTTTATTTTCAAAGGGTTGAGAATTGGGCACACAGGCCCGTCTTACATTCTGCCCTTCTGGCCTCACGCCATACATACATTATTCATGCACACATTGTTTTAGCAGATAATAATAATAATAATAGTATTTATAAGCATCATTAACAACATCTTTGTAACAATGTACTCTAAGTATGCCCACATTTTAAAACAAGTATAATACTAAATGTAACAAATCAAGGTGGAAATCAACAATATTCTCATGAAACTATTTTCTTCTAAGGGGGCATGTAGTCTGAAGTGAGATAATATTCAAAAAGCTTCCAATTGTATTTATATGGGTTGATGATATTTTTGATTGGTTGTGGAAGATGGTTCCACAGATGAGCTGCAGAGTACGCCAAGCTTGTTTTGTACAAGTCTATTCTAGGTTTAGGAATGTGTAATATGTTTAGGCGTTTGCTATGTCGCCCATTATACTTAAAGAATGTCAAAAGGTAATCGGGAGCATTTTTGGATAAGATTTTGTGAATGACTTTGGCCTTATTGAAAAGTAGTCGTTTATGGAAGGGGAGTAACTTAAGATCTTTATGTATACTGGAAATGTCTCTTCCATGATTATTACTGACTAAGCGTACATCTCTTTTTTGAAGTGCTTTAAGCCGTTTCATGACTGAACTTGGACAGCCATCCCATATTGTGGAGCAGTAGTCTAGATGGGTCTGGATACAGGAGGTGTAAAATATCCTTCTGGTGTTTTCATCTAGAAAGTGTTTAATTTTTGCGAGCTGGTATACTTTTTTAGCTGTTTGTTTCACTAGAGCTTGAACATGAGACGTGAAGGTTAAATTTCTATCAATAATTACGCCTAAAGCTTTGTGCTCAGTTACACATTCTACTGGGTTGTTACTGATGTAGAGCTGAAGCGTATTATGTGCAGATAAAGAATATAGTTTTTGTCTTGTTGATATTAACATGCATTTTGT